CACATACATAGTTACCAGACTGGGCCGAACTACTTCTTACTTAACACCAATGTCTTCTCATTATTTATACAAATTATAAAATGAGATCTAAAATTCTTCCCTGGCTTTCTATTTCATATGCCTAAGTAACTCTTATCATTGTCACTGATAAAATGTCAATATAAAAACCTTATATAACCAGGGGGACCTTAGGATATTTTGAATATTTAATTCATAAAATATTCATATTCTTCTTTTTTCAATTCTAAGTTATACTCTAATAACCATTCCCTCTGGAAGTGCTCTGCTAAATGTAGCTATAAATCCCATAGCACATTCTCTATTGCATCATGATTAGCAAAGCAGATTTCAGAACCTATGATGCTTTACCATGAAAACATGTATTTAAGAAAAAATTCTGGAATGGTTTGCTAATTTCCTTTTCATCAGAAAGAAGAGGATGATAGCTTTATATTTGAGAGTAGCCCTGCACCATTGGTGAAGGGAAATTTTTGGTCACCCTTCATATTTAGAGGAAAATTGAGAGTAAGAGGAAATAGAAAATAATTCATATTATTCATCTAGACATTACTGCCTTAAAATACACAGGAAAAGAACAATCCTGCAGAAACAATGAATATGTGAGAGGTAAATTCTGACATGTTTCACTTTCTATTCTGTCCCTCAAATAACCTTCCACATTTGATTCTAAGTGTTGTTTTAAAGGGACTAATAACTTTTATCTGTTATTTCAGAAAAGCAAAAATGCTTGGGAAATTCACCATCCAGAGTGGATTTAAAGTTAGGAACCATGCAAATGACTGACTCCTCCCCATCCCCCATCCTGAATCTGTCATAAAGGGGAAGAGGAAGTCAACATGCACAGGTCAGTAGGGACAGGCTGAGTCTTAGAGATAAACTTCACAGGTTTGCAAACTATTTGGTTTCCAGACTCAACTGGAATGAGTTTCTTCTCTTGCATAAGTCCATACATCAATATAAAACTCAGAGTTAGAGATCTTAAAACAATAAAGACTGGACTGACAAGCTATGCCTCCATTAGGAAAAACAAACAAACAAACAAAACTTTTATATGGACACTACCTTTAATTTGCACAAGATCTTAACCTGAAATGGCCTCAATTTTAAGCAATCAGAATCTCTCTTGAGATTAACTTCAGGCCAGTGACAAAGATCTTATGCATAATGTATATTATTTTTACTAGAATATGTCAAATGACTTTTTTTTTCTGTCTAAATTGGCCAATAATCACTTCATTTGATATTCTTCATCAACCTTTGGGATAGAAAGAATGGTTCCATTACTTCTTTATAGATTTTAAAAGACTGAATGACTTGTCCAAATGTATACAGTTACTAAATTGCAGAATTACCAATTTAGCTAAACTAGACTAATTCCTGAACCAGGATTCTTCCTATAGTATTCATGAAACTATTAAAAGACTTTAAATATTCCCATCAATTAATTTATAATTATCCATTTGATTGATAAGTAATTGTATGGGTAAAATTTTGTGCAATGATTAAAGTGTATGCACTTCTTAATAATATAAGTAGCAATTATGTGTTTTTATGCTCTTCAGATTGATTCAAAGTTATCAACACTATACAAACAGGTATTAGCATATTTTAATAGTCTGTAGTATAGAATCAAGACAGCATCAGAAATCATTTCCCTGTCATCTTCAAGTTTTCATTAAATTTGTTCATTTTGGCATGGGTGATGTTAAGGAGACTTATATCAAGGCACAAGTGTAAGTGTAAAGAGTTAGAGATAGACAAAATATAGAAGAGAATGTGAAGGAAATATTGAGTTTTTGAGACTGAAAATTCAGACCCAAGATCAGAATTTTCATTCTATAGAAAAATCTACTGGTAAGGAACAGTTAGGAAGTACCTGAGGTACTGTGTTTATTATGGAATGAAAAAAAAAAAGAAAAACAACAACAACTCAGAATTAATGGAAAAGAGGCATGGAATGAAACTGAATACAGGTAGAGGACAAAGCAAAAGTGATTTAAGACTGATCAAATATGGGCAAGTGAGAGAGAAAAGAAAGAGAATAATGAGGAAGGGAGCTGTGAGGAAGGGAAGCAGGGCATATGGGGAGAGAAGCTGCAAGAAAAAAGAGAAGAATAAAAGTTTAAAAATAAAACTAAAATAATACACTAAAGCAAATGTAAAAGAGCAATTGAGATAATGTGTGTTTGAAGACTGAACGAGGAGGGAGAGAACAAAAAAGCATGAAAATCAGGAGGAAGCAAGAGGAAAAAGGCCACGGAGTCTGGTGTAGGGGTGACGAGCAGGTGCTCAACACGTGACCTCAGGGCTGGTCCTGGAGCAGATGCGACCCTGGTACCCTCTCTACCCTCCCATCTTTAACGCCAGATTACAATATGGATTTTTCTTTCAGCTGAACTAACAAGGTGTTTAGAGATGGTGAAAGCACCTAGTCTCTATTTTAGCCTATACCGACCTACTCTTCCTTTCCTTGGAAGCTTGTTATTGTCAGATCGATTGTTTTGGGCTTTTTCCAGGAACTGACTTTGTACTGGGTGATGTCCATCTGGTGCACATCTGCCCTCCATCTCTGGTGAGTGCAATTTGAGAATCATCGGAACAGAAGATGTCCATGAAAATGGGAGAAGGAAAGTGATTTAAAGAAATTAAAAGGTATGGAACTCCAGCTGTGTGTTTCGGAAGGAATACAGGCTTGAAAATAAATGTTTGCAAAGGAAGAATGGAAGTGACCATAACCCCCAGAGTGCTCCCAGTGTCTTGGAATCAACAGTCAAATGAAGTCAGGAAAACTGAGCACAAGGATAAAATGTGAGATTAGTTAGAGGGGTATTTCTAACTCTCCTAAGAGCACAGTGAGGTGAGAAAGCCAACAGGTAGTTTTTTTCTGTAGTATGAGCTGGAGGGAAGCTCTTGAGCTGATGTGAAAAGCAACAGATTACTATCACTGTATTAAAAATACTTACTTAGACTCACCTTGTGTTTACATAATATGTATCTGTACGTACAAATTTGTACCTAAGTATTGTAAATTCCTTTTCCATAACATGTGGCTGCTGGTTAGAAATGCCACTAATCAGACAAACCAAATGCTCTGTTTCCTAATAGGTGCTCCTAAAATACCAGTGTTTTGTTTATATTTTCCATTAGTGCTCTCAATGAACTTTTTAATACTTAATTTTCTTACTCTTTCTCTGTTTTCCATCCCTGCTGCTACTACTTCTATAAATGCTACTAGTAATTTCTATCAAATTTTGATCAGGAACATTTTCCCTTTCAGTTTTCTCTGCCACATATCACTTAAAAAGTTTGTTGATATATAATCTTCATATTGTAAACTTTCTTATTTAATGCATGTAGTTAAACAGATTTAAATTTATTTACAGCTATGCAACATCAACCTAATATAAGAACATATCCATCATCCCCAAAATATACGTACTCATTAGTTGTCACTCATACCCCAATTCTAGTCTTAGGCAACCACTTTTCTAACTCTGTCTCTACACATACCATTGTGAGAATTTCAAATAATTTGAATTGTACAATATGGAATCTATAACATCATTTTTTTTATGTTCATCTGTGTTGTAGCATGCATCAATAATTCATTCTCTTTTTTGACAAACTGTATTCCACTGCATGCTTTATATTTTCTTAAAACAAGTATATCATGTTATTAAAAGTCAAGAGAAATACATTATACATATGTTATCTATAATGTAATATATAACATTTTAGAATGCTGTAAAATTAACTATCTTTCTGTTTTAAATCATTATTTTCAATAAATATGCTGGGATATTACAATATATCCATGCTTATTTATTTGGATCATATTTATATAATCGTGATCATATAAATTTTAGAAAACATAACTCTAAGCATATTAAAACCACATTTATAATTATATGTAGAAGGTTCACTTTTTATTTTATCATGCCAGTGGGTTATTTTGTGCATCCCCTGAGTTGAGCACAGCTCATTTTTTGGAGGCCATTATATATACATTAAGCTTTAATTCAGGATGTCTTCAACACAAATATAATTCTTACTTAGGCTATTTATGACCTGAAAGTTCTGGTTATGTAAATGGAATAACACAATTGATGGGACACTAATTAACAACCTCCCACTCCATTGAAACTGAGCAATGCATACCTTTTCTGTCTAACACTGGAAAATGAGAATAAGAAAACTGAGAGGAAGAATCTGAACTGCAGTCACTTTATTTCTATATTTTCAGATCAGGTCCAGCTCTCCTATACATTGATTTTATTAGTTGAGATAGTCAAAATAGTTTACATATTGTGATAATTTTTATTATATGAAATTATTTTTGGCAATGTGGCTTTAATAATGGCTTTAATAATGTGATCTGAAGAAGTAGGTTTTGAATGTATGGTGAGCAAAGAAGACTGGGTTAGTGTTAATTATCATTTAAGGGCAGGGTATGGAGCAGATGTAAGATTAGGACCCAATTCAGAGACTGAACTATTTCTAAAGTAGGTAAAATATAGGCTCTTCTCTTAAGATGCTGGTGGCCAGTTTGGAGTAAAACTGCACAGGATTATCCAAAGAGGACAATGTTATTGTATAGCACAAATTTAGAAAACAAAAATGATGGAAAGAAGCACCTGCAAAAGCATTTTATTCTGGGTACATTGGTTAATTTAATTGCAAAAATTCTAATATACCATGATCAAAATAGTCTGGAATACTATAGGAACATCATTATATAGAAGCACATGGCTAATGAGAATAAAGACTGTGGCTAAAATAACTGTCTGGGGGAATTGGAAAAATAAATGGTAGAAGGGTTAATTTGAAATACAGAAGAGTTAAGGAACTTAAGTTGTTTCCAGCTAGGGAAGTGTTGGCTGTGGAAAATACTGTTTTTGATTGGAAAGAGCTATGGACAAGCTTGAAAAGTGTTTATTAACAAATAAGATTTTGTTTATTGATATTCTTCAGTTTAAAGCATGATGGCAGAGAACAGCACAGCAGGGACAGAATTCCTCTTCTATGGTCTCACTCAGTCACGAGATATAGAACTTCTGGTCTTTGTACTTGTCTTAATTTTCTACCTCATCATCCTCCCTGGAAACTTCCTCATCATCCTTACCATAAAATTAGACCCTGGCCTCTCTGCCCCCCTCTACCTCTTTCTGGGCAACTTGGCCTTCATGGATGCATCCTACTCCTTCATTGTGGCTCCCAGGATGCTGGTGGACTTCCTCTCTGAGAAGAAGGTAATCTCCTACAGAGGCTGCATCACTCAGCTCTTTTTCTTGCATTTCCTTGGAGGTGGGGAGATGCTGCTTCTTGTTGTGATGGCCTTTGATCGCTATGTTGCCATCTGTCGGCCTTTGTACTACTCCACTATCATGAACCCTAGAGTCTGTTATGTCTTGCTGGTGGCACCATGGTTTGGGGGCTTTACCCACTCCATTATACAAGTGGCCATTATTCTCCACTTGCCCTTCTGTGGCCCAAACCAGCTGGATAACTTCTTTTGTGATGTGCCACAGGTCATCAAGCTGGCCTGCACAGACACCTTCGCCGTGGAGCTCCTGATGGTCTCCAACAGTGGCCTCCTCACTCTTCTGTGCTTCCTGGGGCTTCTGGCCTCCTATGCGGTCATCCTGTGCCGAGTGCGGGGGTCCTCCTCTGAGGGCAAGAGCAAGGCTCTCTCCACGTGCACCACGCACATCATCATTGTGTTTCTCATGTTTGGACCTGCCATCTTCATCTACACTCGCCCCTTCAGGGCCTTCCCAGCAGACAAAGTTGTTGCTCTCTTCCACACAGTCATCTTTCCTTTGATGAACCCTGTGATTTATACCCTTCGAAACCAGGAGGTAAAAGCTTCCATGAGGAAGCTGTTAAGTCGGCATATGGTTTGTTGACTGGGAAAGAATGAGAAAAGCAAGACAGGAGACACTCCAATATAAATTTAAGTCACTTAGTCATTCACGAATTCCATATTTAGGAATATTTTATGACTCCATACTGATGAATCACTTTCAATTTTCAAATATTATTTAATGAATATGAATGAGACCTAAGATTCCAGGAGTTGGTCCTAAGATTTCTGGAGTTACATTCAAGAATATATTGATAAAACTGTAACTGAAAAAAAATCCATAATATCTACAAGAAACATACATTGCAGT